TGGCATCTGGAAGGTGTAGGGCCCCCCCGCCCCAGGGCATTCACTGATGTCGTCCAGATGCTTGGGCGGCCATGACTGCCGCCCCTCGTACTCCACCACTGCCCCCACCCCCGCTGAGGACCCCAGCTGCTGAGACACGGCTGTGGGATGGGCCAGGATCTCCTTAGAGAGGCAGACGGCCTGGCCCAGCTGGTGAGGGGATGGACCCTGTCGGCTGGCAGCACCTGAGGCTCCCGCACGTCGTCTGCCGTCCCCGTCCTGCTCAGTGCTCAGTGCTGAGATGACTAGTGCTTATGGACAGGCCTGTTGAGTGAGTTACAGCACTGTGATCTAAAGAATGAGAAACACCCGGAACTGTGTGTCCTGCGCAGCCACTAAAACGCACCTGATCTCTCTGTAGGTTCTAACAAAGGGGGAAACAAGGGTTAAAATCGTCTCATGCAGGAAAAAAATTACCGCATACACACATGGAGAGACAGCTGTGCAGAAAAAAGTCCAGAGGGATATATACCAGACTGTTAAAAGTGGTTATTCCTTGGGGCCGGCAGGTGGTGTGGTGACTAAGGGCGCTGGACTCCCTCATGGCTGACTGTGGTTCGAGTCCCGGACCCGGCGGCTTTCCTTCTCTCCCTCTCTGCCCCCTCATCAAATTTTAAAAAGTAAATAAGTTAATTAAATAATTAAATAGAATAAATAATTCTTTTTTTAAAAAGTGGTTATTCCCAAGAGATGGATATACAATCACGTTCTTTCTTATGTAATTCTGTTATGTTAGAATTTGTTACATTCAAAATCAGAAAAAAACAGTGTTTTGTTTTTGTTATTATAGATTTCAAAGAAATCGGAATAATTGAGAAAATTGAAAGTTAATATTCTGAGACTAGGGCTTATGGAAATATTTCTAAATGAGGAAAACAAAACAAAACAAAAACAGACCCCTAGCCATTTTTACGGACAGTGTTTGCTTCCGCCTAGTGCCTTTTAGATCTCCCTGGGAGCCCAAGGGAGAGGAGAGACCACCGGCCTCATTTTCCTTTCCTGTCTTTGCAGGGTTTAGCTGTTTCACATCTTTGTTGTTGTTGTTGTTGTTTTAAGAAAAGGAATTATTTTATTTAACTTTATTCATCGTTATTATTGTTTTTTAAAATTTGATCAGAGAGAGAGGGGAAGTAAGAAAGCCGGCAGGTCTAAGGCTTGTACTGCGGTCAGCCAGGCGGCAGTCCAGCGCCTTAACCACCCGCCACCTGCCGGTCCAGTTCAGGAAATTCTTAAACATCTAATGCCTGTGAAACTGCTCCGTGATCAGGGTACAAGCCCTCCTATCGGCAGAGCGGACTCCCAGTACTTAAAGGAAAACAGTGCGAGCAGCATCTTCCCACTCGGGCACGCCGTGCAGCACGTCTTGTCCAGGACTTCAGCTGTGGGTCATTCCGCCTCCTTCCCAGCCTAAACCTACACCTCCGAGAGTGAGTCAAGTGGCTGTGGGTTGAGACTCACCCAACTAGGGCAATAAAGAGAAAAATTAGTCTAATGCATGGTCTTAACAAGAGTGAGAGTGTGAGCATGAATAATTAATCTCGCTAGTCCTGGGGCAATCAGATAAAATGAAGTCCCATTTGCTCAACCTTATTAAAAGAGAGAGAGCGCGGGAGGGGGAGAAATGGTAAAGGTCGTTAAGGGACTTGTAACATGGAAAGAACCGCCTTGGAGAGGGGTAATGTGTTTTCTAATCTCTGTGGTCTTTAACTAAACATAATGCTAAAGGTGCTCTTTGGGTAGTTCTGACTCCTTGAATTATTAAACATTTTAGAAAAGACTTGACTCCTGACTACCAACTTAGATGTCTTTATGATGAATTTGCGGAGAGTCTTTTTGGAGAGGGAATTGGATCTCACTCTATCACTTAGAAATGATTCACCCACTTGTCAGAAAAGAACTTGTAGAGAAAGAAAAGACAGGAGTGGAGTCAGTATCAGACTTTAATTCCTGTTTACCACAGACATTTTGCTGACGTAAGGCTTGCCTTCCTGCCAAAGAAGTTGAAGTATTTTAAAAAACAAAACATTGAGTCCAAAATACAGCTCTGTAATGATAAGTGTGTGCACAATATTACTTTTATGATAGACAGTGAGGTTGCTGTTTAAAAAATTGTTTCTCTCTCCCCACAAACTGATCTTAAAATGTTTAGGTTATTTGCTAAAAATAGAAGGTTTGATTATTTCTGTAGTCTCACGCAGAGGAATAGTCTTATTTTGGATATTTTAGAATTGCTGAAATGATCTGAGTCAGAAACTTTTTATTTATTTATTTATTTTTTGGAGAGGTTTTTGCTATAGGGCACATGTGCTCGGCAGACAGAGAGACAGAAAGCGAGAAATCACCTCCAGGGGGGATGGCCACGCTGCAATCCCTTCTCCTCCATTCTCCTCTCAGGATCTTGGGCACACACGCACACGTGCCCGGCGTGAGTTTTAAGCCACCAGGTGCAGGACGCGAACCGCGGTTGACTACATGGGAGCCCAGCGCCATAGCCATTACGCTGACTGCTGGTCCCAGAAACTTTTATTTTCAACTGCTTTTTAGCTTGTTTAGTTTTAGGGATTAAGAGGATATTTTAATTCGAAATTGTACTCTATCCTTTCAGCTGCTGTTAGCAATAGTTAATTAACATTAGAGTATTGTTTTGACTATTAGGAATTACCAGAGAGAAGGGGCTAGTAGGTGGTATAGTGGTTAAGGTATTGGACTCCCACATGGCCGACCGTGGTTCGAGTTCCAGACCCAGAGGCTCAAAAATCATGTCGGGCACGTGTGCATGTGTGTGCCCAAAATCCCAAGAGGAGAACAGAGAAGGGATTGTGGTGTGGCCATCCTCCCTGAGGGGTGATTTCTCACTTTCTCTCTCTCTGTCTCTATCTCTATGGCAAGTGCACACACACTATAGCAAAAAATCTCTCAAAAACAAAACAAAACAAAACAAAAAACCCAAACAGTCACTTTGTTAGAAACATGAGTTGACAATGAGATCCGATTGATGGTTTTCAGGATGGAGACCATTTAGTTTATTATAACTTTTCAATACCAAAATTAAAATCTGTACACTGGTAAGTGATGAGCGTTTGGATTAACAAGAAGCTGCACATCATTTCTCTGTGTTTGCAGAGAGATCTCTGCAAAAATATTGATATTAAAACTTTTGTTCAGGGTCCAGTAGATGGCATAACGGTTATGTCACTGGACTCCCACATGGCCAACCACAGTTCAAGTCCCGGACACGGAGGCTTGAAGCTCATACCAGGTGCATGTGTGTGCATACCCAAAAATCCCAAGAGGAGAATGGAGAAGAGATTGTAGCATGGCCATCCCTCTGGGGAGTGACTTCTCACTTTATGTCTCTCTGGCAAGCACACATGCCCTGTAGCAAAAATCTCTCTTTAAAACAGGACAAAACTTGTATTCAGTGATTCATTTTAAAAGATTAACCATGTGGGGACCAGCGGTTGGCATAATGGCTATGTCGCTGGACTCCCATATAGTCGACCATGGTTTGAGTCCTAGACCTGGTGGCTTAAACTCATGCCAGGCGCGTATGTGTGTGGACCCAAGCTCATGAGAGGAGAATGGAAGAGAAGGGATTGAGGCATGGCCATCCCCCCGGGGGGGGTGATTTCTCACGTGTTTCCGGGGTATTGCATGCCCCCAATAGCAAAACCCCCCCCCCCCCCAAAAAAAAAAAAAGATTGGGACCAGCAGTTAGTGTAATGGCTATGTCGCTGAACTCCCATGTAGTCAACTACAGTTCGAGTTCCGGACCTGGTGGCTTAAACTCACTCCAGGCGCATGTGCATGCGTACATGCCCAAGATCCCAAGAGGAGAATGGAGGAGAAAAGATTGCGGTGTGGCCATCCCCTCTGGGGATTAATTTCTCACTTTCTGGCGAGCGCATGTGCCCTATAGCAAAAACCTCTCCCCAAAAAAAGGCAAAAGAGAGAGATTAACCATATGATCAGCAGAATAGATACCATACTTAAGACTTAAATAATCTTCAGAAAGATTCCTTACAATTCATCCTTTTCAAGACACAGAAGTGCCCTACTGTACTGGAGGAAGCCTGGGGGTCAAGGGTGCCCTCCTGAGTGTGTTTACACTTTATGGAGCAGAGCTTTCTGAAATTACTGAGTGGAGAGTAGGTCGAGAGGAGTGTGTGGCTTGCAGTGTAAAGTAATCATGCGGTGATGAACTGTGCAAGCTTCCTCTTCCTGGACACTTGCACCTGTTCTTCCTTTCACTCTCTGTGGCTACAATTCAGAGAGAGAACCCACCTGGCTTGTCTGCACGCTTCCTGATCCCTTGTCAGCTTTCCCATAAATTCCAGATCAGAAGCAGTCAGTGAGTCTTAGTTTCCATATGCTTTTATTTTCCTTCCCTTTTGCTTTCTTAAATGTGTTTGCTATAGAGCTTATGCGCTTGCCAGAGCGACAGGGAGGGCAAGTGAGAAATCACCCCACCCCCTTGGGGGAATGGTCATGCCCTACTTTGCTGTCCTCCATTCCGTCTCAGGGCTTTGGGCACATACACACAAGTACCCAGCATGCTTTTGAAGCCACTGGGTTCAGGACTTGAACCACACAGATGGCCAGGTGAGATCCAGCCACCATAACCACCATGCCACCAGCTGATCCCATACATCCATTTTACTGGGAAGAAGTTAGGATAGAGAATTTTCCCATTGGCCACTTCCTTTGTGTCCTTTGAGTTGGTTTCTATCGGCCTGAGGAACTCTTTGGGTTTTCCTTTGACTTTTATTTTTGCATTTTCTTTTGGCATTACATAGCCATGTCCCTGCGCTGCCAGTGTCCTGCGAAGGTCAGGAAATCAAGCGGCAGAACATCTTAGCAGTAGCTGGTGGTAACGATCACGCTCTGGACGGGTGAGATGAGGTGTTCGGCGTCGGCCCGGGGCATGGATTGGGCACCTACATCTTTTTCTTCTCGCTCAGATCCTGGTGTACAGCCTGGAAGCAGAACGCTGCCTGTCGAAGCTGGGGAACGCGCTTGGTGACTTCACGTGCGTCAACCTCAGGGACAGCCCTCCCCACTTCATGGTCAGCGGCAACATGGACAGGAGGTACGTGTGAGTCACAAGCCCAGTATTGTGCAGCCACTGCTGCTTCCGTGGAGGCCCGGCCACCCAGCCCCCACGGTGCTCGCCAGTTCCTCTCCCACCCACAGTCCTCGGTTCCGCCTGCAGCTTTGCCCACCTGAGTTCAGCCCTGATCCCATAAACCCTGACCTTGGAGCACAAAGTCTCGTATTAGGTAATAGTTGGATATAGCTCTGCCCCTGCCTCATTTCTGAAGCGCTGCAGGAAGGTTTTCTTTTAAGCCATTTGGTGGACGCAGTTGGTGGCAGGTCCAGTGAGACCACTTGGAATATCTTTTGTCCCCCTGCTGCAAAATTTGTTTGGCATTTAAAAGCTCACTTTCTAATATTAAAAACAATAACCTAAGGGATGAATCATGTTCAGCAGAATAGGGTTGCCTGCCAAATGATGTCAAGAGTGTATTTCAGAACACTGTGGTGTCCCTCTGGTGATGGAAGAAAAAAAGAGACTTCATGTGAGCAGATTCCAGTTTCTATTTAGCTGATTAGCAGTCTTCTCTTTAAAGCATTGGCTGAGGGAGTCAGATTTCCCGGTGCAGGCTCCGGTGCCAGCCACGGCTGCTCCAGGAACCATCAGCACGAAAGGATTAAAGTGTTTGCAAAGATCCTCCGGGTCCAAATTTGGGGTTTTTCCCCCTCCCTCCTTCCTCTCCCACCCACCCCCCCCCCC